TATTATTATTATTATTATTTCTATTATATTATATATTATATTTCTATATTATTATTATTTCTATTATATTATTATATTATCATATTATACTATTATACTATTTCTAAGAATCCTAGATTATCCAGTGTGACTCTATATATTGCAGTGTTTCTCAACCTTCTTTATGCCGCGACCCCTTAATACAGTTCCTCATGTTGTGTTGACCCACAACCATAACATTATTTTCATTGCTACTTTAAAACTCATGCAGATAAACAGTTTCCAGCTTCACTCTCACAGAGGTTCCTCTCACACCAAACTTACACAGGAGCTTCACAGAGTAGCGTTTTACACACAGCAACCTTGACACTGGAGCTCCACCCACAATGGCCTTCAACCTGGAACTTCTCTCACACTGAGGCCTACTAACACTGAGGTCTACCTCACACTGAGGCTTTTCTTCCACTGAGGCTTTCTCTCACACTGAGGGCTACCTCAGACTGAGGCCTTTCTTCCATTGAGGTTTTCTCTCACACTGAGGGGTACCTCAGACTGAAGCCAACTAATACTACTAAGCTACAGGCACACCTGCTTATATAGAACTATAGCTTTTGCTGAGTCATTGCAACCTGGAGCTTCTCTCACACTGAAGCCTTGTGCTGGCAGGACTGTAATTTTGCTACTGTTATGAATCGTCATGTAAATATCTGATATGCAGGATGGATTTTCATTTACTGGACCAAATTTGGCACAAATACGCAAAACACCCAAATTTAAATACTGTTAGGGTCGGCTTAAGGTATTGATTTTGTCATTTGGGAGTTGTAGTTCCTTGGGTTTATAGTTCGCCTACAATCAAAGAGCATTCTGAACTCCACCAATGAGAGAATTGAACCAAACTTGGCACACAGAACTCCCATAACCAACAGAAAATACTGGAAGGGTTTGGTGTGCATTGACCTTGAGTTTGGGAGTTGTAGTTCACCTATATACTGAGAGCACTGTGGACTCATACAATGATGGATCTGGACCAAACTTGGCACGAATCCTCAATATGCCCAAATGTGATCACTGGTGAAGTTTGGGGGAAATAGACAGAGGTGGCCCCAGGTAATTTTCAACGGTAAGCAAACAGTATTTTGCCCCCCCCCCCCCCAACCAATCATTGATATATATTTTCTGTTTGCCGTGGGAGTCCTGTGTGCCATATTTGGTTCAATTCCATCATTGGTGGAGTTCAGAATGCATCCCAGTATACATCCTAGTAACTACACTTGCCGCATTTGCTCCCTTGCCTGGCCCGCTTTGGGTCCGGAGGCGTGCCTGAAGACCCCAGCGTGTGCACCAAAAGTCACCTCTTCTCCTGACTTTCTCCTCAGCCATTGGGACCAAGAGAGAGAGAGAGAGAGACAGAGGTGGAGATGCCCACCTTTCCTGAAGGTAGGCGCAAAAACAAAGGAGGGAGCGGAGGTGGGAGATACCTCCAGCCGGAGGGGCTCTCTCTCTCTCTCTCTTGGTCCCAATGGCTGAAGAGAAAGTCAGGAGAAGAGACGACTTTTGGTGCGCACGCTGGGGTCTTCAGACACGCCTCCCCGCGGATTGGGGAGAGGAGAGGAGGCGGGTGGAGCGCCCCGGGATCGGGAAAGGGAGCCAATCATGGGGAAGGGATCGAACCCGGAGAACGATTGAGCACCGGCTCTGCTCGTGCACCCGGTGGCCGGGTGGAGCAGGAACGAGTGGGCCTAGGTGAGGCTCAAGGGCCCGGCCCCTTTGGGAAGAGGATCGCCCGGCAGCGAGGCAAGAAAGCCGAGGCTCCCACCGGACTGCTAGGGCTGTTGTGAGCTGAGGGGGCGCTCCTCAAGTGGCGGTCGAGGGGTGTTCTGCGACCTCTTACTTCGCGTAATGGAGGAGCCGCCCCTGGAAATAGACCTTGACATTTGGAAGTTTTAGTTGCTGTCATTTTAGTCATTACAGGTTGTTGTTATTATTATTATTATTATTATTATTATTATTATTATTATTATTATTAATACCTTTTGCAGGTGTCCAATACATTGATCAAAACTCACTTCTGCATAGACAAGGATAGGATTGCATTGGGAAGATATGTTTTGTTCTTGTTTCTTCCCATCCCAAGAAAGAGGCAGCCCTGGCCTTATTGCTGCAGTTCAATAGCATTGGGTTCAAAGTTCTCAGCAGTTGCGTTTGTTTCAAAACTTCAGCTGCAAAACAAAAGCTTATCTCTTGAAATTGGTGAGATTCCCTGCGAGTTTTGGAGGCAAAAGGCATGCAATGTCGTTGTGGATTCTTAGGCCCAGTTCTTGTTAGGACCAAAAGCGAGGTCAATTGGAATGGGCTGGGTATATGGGGTAATGCAACCCCAAATAGGTAATTTTTTACCTATTTACATCCCAAATAGACTACTGCAACGCCCTCTACATGGGGTTTCCTTTGAAGACTGTTCGGAAGCAACAATTTTATTTATTTACTTATTTATTTACAACATTTCTCCCCCGCCTTTCTCAACCCCCGAGGGTGGACTCAGAGCGGCTTACACTGGCAACAATTCGATGCCGCAAATATCACAATAGAACAACAATATAAAACTATAAAAAGATTAAAACAATCACATTAATTATACAATCCTAGCCGTTTCCATTATCATAACAATCATCATATGGTCCAATTCAGGGTCCAATTCATCGCCCAGTCGTTCCATATTCCTATGTCTTTTACATTGCATTTTCAAACACTTGCTCAAACAGCCAAGTCTTGACTCTTTTCTGGAATGTCCCTTGGAAGGGCGTCCCATAGCCGAGGGGCCACCACTGAGAAGGCCCTACCCCTTGTCCCTGCCAAACTTATTTGGCGTTTGTGCCTCTTAGCCAAACCACAATTTCAGTTATTTTCCTGAAGGAAAGGAGGGAGGATGCCGATCTAATCTCGCTGGGGGGCGAATTCCACAAGCGGGGAGCCACCACCGAGAAGGCCCTGTCTTGGACAAGTCATATAGGACTTTATAGGCCAAGACCAGCACTTTAAAGTAAAGTAAAGTAGTGTTCAAGGAATACCTGGCTACTCTAAACGAATTCAAGTCTCCAGGGCCAGATGAACTACGTCCAAAGGTAATACAGGAAGTACAGAAGTAATTTCAGAACCAATAATCTATGACACTCCTTGAAGAACATTCAGTCGTTTCTCCGGTTTCAGGTAGTTGTGGACCTTTGAGGAACATATATATGATTTCAACCCATTAATCCTTTGTTTACTTGGAGGAGAAGCTATGCATTTCACTTAATAGAACAGCCCATTATCACAAGTGTCATATTTAATTTTTTTAAATTCAGATTATGAGAAATGTCCTTGATTGCTCACAAATATTAATAAATGGAGCAAAAGGCATATATTTATATTACATGTAATATTACTAATAATATTGCCATATAATGGTATAGTACAATATGTCGTTGTTGTTGTTGTTCATTCGTTCAGTCGTTTCTGACTCTTCATGACCTCATGGACCAGTCCATGCCAGAACTCCCTGTCGGCCGTCACCACCCCCAGCTCCTTCAAGGTTAATCCAGTCACTTCTATGATAACATCAATTCATCTTGCCCTTGGTCGGCCGCTCTTCCTTTTTCCTTCCATCCCTGACAGCCATGGCCACCCCCAGCTCCTCCAAGGCCAAGCCAGTAACTTCAAGGATACCATCCATCTTGCCCTTGGTTGGCCCCTCTTCCTTTTTCCTTCCATCCCTGACAGCCATGCCCACCCCCAGCTCCTTTAAGGTCAATCCAGTAACTTGTTGACTTTGGTGGAGAGGTGGCATTCTGTCCAGCAGAGTTGATGGCGGAGGACCGTCGCTTCAGTGCTGGTGGTATTTGCTTCTTCCAGCACGCTGACATTTGTCTGCTTGTCTCCCCAAGAGCTTTTTAGGATTTTCCAGAGGCAACGCTGATGGAATCGTTCCAGGAGTTGAGTGTGACATCTGTAGACAGTCCATGTTTCGCAGGCATATAGCAGGGTTGGGAGGACAATAGCTTTATAAACAAGCCTCTTGGTTTCCCTACGGATGTCCCGGTCCCCAAACACTATGTGCTTCATTCGGAGAACTGCTGCACTCGCAGAGCTCAGGCGGTGTTGTATTTCAGTGTCAATGTTGACTTTTGTGGAGAAGTGGCATTCTGTCCAAAGGAGTTGATGGCGGAGGACCGTCCCTTCAGTGCTGTTGGTCTTTGCTTTTTTCAGCGCGTTGACATTTGCCCGCTCGTCTTCCCAAGAGATTTGCAGGATTTTCCGGAGGCAACGCTGATGGAATTGTTCCAGGAGTTGAGTGTGACATCTGTAGACAGTCCACGTTTCGCAGGCATATAGCTGGGTTGGGAGAACAATAGCTTTATAAGCAAGCCCCTTGGTTTCCCTACGGATGTCCTGGTCCTCAAAAACTCTGTTGTTCATTAGGAGAACTGCTGCACTTGCAGAGCTCAAGCGGTGTTGTATTTCAGTGTCAATGTTGACTTTTTTGAAGAGGTGGCATTCTGTTCAGTGGAGTTGATGGCGGAGGACCATCGCTTCAGTGCTGGTGGTATTTGGTTTCCCTACGGATGTCCTCAAACACTTCATTCGGAAAAATGCTGCACTTGCAGAGCTCAGGCGGTGTTGTATTTCAGTGTCAATGTTGACTTTTGTGGAGAGGTGGCATTCTGTCCAGTGGAGTTGATGGCGGAGGACCATCGCTTCAATGCTGGTGGTATTTGGTTTCCCTACGGATGTCCTGATTGGCTGGTGACCCTTATGAACCCTTAGAATGTTTACGTATGTTCCGTGACATCACAGTGGATCACTGACTAGGAAAAAAAAGGCTTATAGGCAGGGAAGTGATAGGAAAGACCTTCGTTTGCTTCCTCCCTGTTTTTGTTATCCTGCTTAAGTGAGTTCCATACTTTCAAGCTTTCGGGAATGGTGTTAGTATTAATATTTGTGTACGTAACCACTTCTTGGTGTGTCTTTGTGTCTTCCAGATCCGTGCATGAAGAACAAGCTCTCCTGCAGACGCCCTGAGAGGGGGAACTGGACATCCTGACCTCAGCGTGACTCTACATCGCTGCAAAACCAGGCGGACTTTTTTTTATGTGAGTCAGGAACGCCTTGGATTTGGATACATGCAAAAGGTTCTGGATCTCTGGTCCAGAACGTTGGTTAGGATACATGGGGTAGGCCAAGGATGGGAGCGGATTGCCCAACATCATATGGTTGGAAAGAGCTATAGGTCAGTGGTAGAAAGAGTGTGTTGAGTATAGAGACCCCTAAGGGCCATCCAGTCCAACCCCCTTCTGACAGGCAGGAGGACACAATAGAAGCCCTCCTGACAGATGGCCATCTAGAAGACATTCTTCATCTATTATTATTATTATTATTATTATTATTATTATTATTATTATGGAATCCTAGAGTAGGAAGGGACCCCAGGGGCCATGCAGTCCCTCTCCCTTCTGCCAGGCTTGAAGACACAATAGAAGCACTCCTGAGAGATGGCCATCCAGAAGAGATTCATCAACATCATAATCTATTATTATTATTATTATTATTATTATTATTATTATTATTATAGAATCCTAGAGTAGGAAGGGACCCCAGGGGCTATGCAGTCCTTCTCCCTTCTACCAGGCTTGAAGACACAATAGAAGCCCTCCTGACAGATGGCCATCCAGAAGAGATTCATCATCATAATCTTTTATTATTTTTATTATTAAAGAATCCTAGCGTTAGACGGGACCCCAAGGGCCATGCAGTCCCTCTTCCTTCTGCCAGGCAGGAAGACACAATAGAAGACAAGAATCAATGAGGGCCAGCTAACAGCTCCCAACAAATGATTTCCCACAGCAGGAAGCAGTCAGGCTTTCAGTGACTCAAGCAGACAAGAGTTCTTTCTCCCAACCTGGACATCATTCCACAGATATATAAATCCCACTTGCCTAGTTCCCAACAGACCTCGCAACCTCTGAGGATGCCTGGCATAGATGTGGGGGAAATGTCAGGAGAGAATGCTTCTGCCCGGAAAACTCACAGCAACCTAGGTATCTTTATTTGAGCAATTCTAGCCTTCTGTTAACTGGGAGATATGCCCAGTTAAATGCGCAATTCCAGAGGTTAGCCAGAAGAGATAAGGAACTATTTTGGAAGAAGACAACAGAATAGGAAGAAGACAAGAGACCTCTTCCAGAAAATTAGAAACATTGGAGGTAAATTTCAGGCAAAAATTGGTATGATAAGAAACAAAGATGGCAGGGACCTAACAGAAGCTGAAGAGATCAAGAGAAGGTGGCGAGACTATACAAAAGATCTGTATAGGAAGGATAATAATATGAGGATAGTTTTGACGGTGTGGTGAATGAATTAGAACCAGACTTCCTGAGGAGTGAGGTTGAATGGGCCTTAAGAAGCATTGCTAACAACAAGGCAGCAGGAGATAACGGGATCCCAGCTGAACTGTTTAAAATCTTAAAAGATGATGCTGTCAAGGTGATGCATGCCATTTGCCAGCAAATATGGAAAACACAAGATTGGCCATCAGACTGGAAAAAATCAACTTATATCCCCATACCAAAAAAGGGAAATGCGAAAGACTGCTCAAACTTCGTACAGTGGCCCTTATTTCTCATGCCAGTAAGGTAATGCTCAAGATCCTGCAAGGAAGACTCCAGCAATACATGGAGCGAGAGTTGCCAGATGTTCAAGCTGGGTTTAGAAAAGGCAGAGAATGAGAGACCAAATTGCCAATATCCGCTGGATAATGGAGAAAGGCAGGGAGTTTCAGAAAAACATCTACTTCTGCTTCATTGACTATTCTAAAGCCTTTGACTGTGTGGATCATAATAAATTGTGGCAAGTTCTTAGTGGGATGGCCATCCCAAGCCACCTTGTCTCTCTCCTGAGGAATCTGTACAAGGACCAAGTAGCAACAGTCAGAACTGACCATGGAACAACAGACTGGTTCAAGATTGGGAAAGGCGTACGGCAAGGCTGCATCCTCTCACCCAACCTTTTTAACTTGTATGCAGAACACATCATGCGATGTGCGGGGCTTGATGAATGCAAGGCTGGGGTGAAAATTGCTGGAAGAAACATTAACACCCTCAGATATGCAGATGACACCACCCTGATGGCCGAAAGCGAGGAGGAGCTGAGGAGCCTTCTAATCAAGGTGAAAGAAGAAAGCGCAAAAGCCGGGTTGCAGCTAAACGTCAAAAAAACCAAGATTATGGCAACAAGAATGATTGACAACTGGAAAATAGAGGGAGAAAATGTGGAGGCCGTGACAGACTTTGTATTTGTAGGCGCAAAGATTACTGCAGATGCAGACTGTGGCCAGGAAATCAGAAGACGCTTCCTTCTTGGGAGGAGAGCAATGTCCAGTCTCGATAAAATAGTGAAGAGTAGAGACATCAGACTGACAACAAAGATCCGCCTAGTCAAAGCCATGGTATTCCCTGTAGTCACCTACGGATGTGAGAGCTGGACCATAAGGAAGGCTGAGCAAAGGAAGATAGATGCTTTTGAACTGTGGTGTTGGAGGAAAGTTCTGAGAGTGCCTTGGACTGCGAGAAGATCCAACCAGTCCATCCTCCAGGAAGTAAAGCCCGACTGCTCATTGGAGGGAAGGATACTAGAGACAAAGTTGAAGTACTTTGGCCACATCATGAGGAGACAGCAAAGCCTAGAGAAGACAATTATGCTGGGGAAAGTGGAAGGTAAAAGGAAGAGGGGCCCAAGGGCAAGATGGATGGATGGCATCCTTGAAGTGACTGGACTGACCTTGAAGGAGCTGGGGGTGGTGACGGCCGACAGGGAGCTCTGGCGTGGGCTGGTCCATGAGGTCACGAAGAGTCGGAGACGACTGAACGAATGAACAACAACAAGCCTTCTGTTCCCATAGTGACCGACCAGATGGCCTAATGGGAAGAGCATCGCAAAACCACCTTCCGGGCTGGTTCCCTAGTAACAGCGATGCTGCCTCTGATACTGGAGGGAAGGCATCGCTGTCACGAGTAGTCACCACTGATGGCTTTATTCCTCCGTGAAATTGTATAATCCCTTTCCAAAGCTGTCAACGTTTGCTGCATCCGGAGATAGCAGGTCCCACGGCTGTAACAATGCTGTGGGTGGAAGAGATGCAGCTTCGTTCGCTTCGCAGGGATTGAACACTGTTAAGTGATCCTGTTATAGTCACCCTCTCCAATAAGCAAATGGGGAGTCTCAATTGAGATAATATATTTCTATTTAGTGTGTTGTATTTGGAATACAGTGATATCTCTATATCAGACAGGGGCAAATTTCAGCCCTCCAGGTGTTTTGGACTCTGACAATTCCTAACAGCCTGTAGACATACCAGGTATGTGTACCAAATGTGGTCCAGATCTATCAGTAGGTTCATAGTGCTAGGTGAACTACAACTATTTCAAATCAAGGTGAATTCCCCCAAAGATCTCTAGTTTGTTTGTTTTTTCCCGTCATGGGGGCCCTGTGTGTCAAGTTTGACCCAATTCCATCTTTGGTGGAGTTCAGCATGCTCATTGATTGCCAGTGAACTATAACTCCCAGTACTTACAACTCCAAAATGTCCACCAGTATTGGTCATATCGGGCATATCATGTGGGTTCATCATTGCTAGGCCCATCATTGGTGGAATTGAGAGTGCTCTTAGATTGCAGGTGAACTATACATCCCAGGACCTACAACTCCTATAAATCATAATGAATTCTCTCCAGACCTCTCTAGTATGTTCAAAATGGAACTGTAGAGGAGAGTCTACAGTTCCATTTTGCACAGGGTTCCATACTTCGCACTTTAACAACACAACCGTTCAATGCTGAGGCTTCCCACCAAAATGGAACTGTAGAGGAAAGTCTACTGAACAAGCCAGTACATGCCACATACGTTGCTTAAGTCGCATTGACTGACCATCTGCGCAGGGTTCCATACTTCATACTTTAACAACACAACTGTTCAATGCTAAGGCTTCCCACCAAAATGGTACTGTAGAGGAAAGTCTACTGAACAAGCCAGTACCTGCTGCATACGTTGCTTAAGTCGCATTGACCAATCGTCTGTGCAGGGTTCCATACTTCACACTTTAACAACACAACTGTTCAATGCTAAGGCTTCCTGTCAAAATGGAACTGTAGAGGAGAGTCTACTGAACAAGCCAGTATCTGCCGCATACCAGTACTGCCATCTGTTGAGGAGTTACGAAGGTGGAGGCATTACTTTTCATTCAATCCTCGCATAAATCATGGTGATTTCTCCCCAAACCTCTCTAACATGTTCTGTTGCTGATCAATTCCTCTGTTTGCTCTGTGCCATAGAAAAGAACAGGAAATAGTTAAGGGAGAGGCAGTGGGTGGGGTTATGCAAATTCCACACCAATTGAGAGTGTCAGGAACACTGGGATGTCTGTGGTGGAGGATACACATACAATCTAGGATGGAATTGTCCCCGTATGGAAGCCTTCACTTGGGTGTTGGACAGTGTGATGTTTGTGGAGGATATTGGCATGGCTCTTGAACATGTTCGTGGCGCTCGCTATAACCTGCAATGTCATTGGAGGGAGGATCTTTGGTGTCTCCTGTGTAGTGGGAGTTATAGCTGTCTGTGGAGCTTGTTTGTGCAAGTGTACACCCCGGCCACATAGACACAAACATATTCTGAACTCTTTTAGGAAGAACAGGAAAAGGTTAAGGGAGAGGCAGTGGGCGGGGTTATGCAAATTCCACACCAATGGAGAGAGTCAGGAACACTGGGATGTCTGTGGTGGAGGAAAAAGTCTAAAATGAAATAGTCTCCATTTGAAAGCCTTCGCTTGGGTGGTGGGCAGCGTTGTGTTTGTGGAGGACATTGGTAGGGCTCTTGGACATTTTCATGGCGCTCACTACAACCTGCAATGTCATTGGAGGGAGGGCCCTTGGTATTATTATTATTATTATCATCATCATCATTATTAGAAACACAACAAAATGAGTCCACAGCAGGCTGATCACACACATTGTTTATTTATTTATTTATTTATTTATTTACTTCTTTTGTATACCGCATTTATCAGCCTTGTGGCGACTCAATGCGGTTTACACTAAAA